TCTTGAACCTGTTAAGCCGGCACTACGATCCGTATCTCAAAGACAGACACCAATAGGTGGTTCCGCAAAAATGTTTCAAATTTACGGAATGCTCCTTCAGGGGTACCACAAAAAGTTCAGTTCTAAGACCCCTCTAGTTGTTAATATATACATTTGATTTGGTCGTCAAAATTAAAAACTCGAATGTAACTTGTTATGCCGATAATACTCAATTATTGTTAAGCTTTCCCACTGATGATTTTAAAAAGGCTGAGGCTAAAATTAATATTGATCTCGAAAATATTAACAACTGCTATTAATATTCTGCTATTAATAATATGAAACTCAACCCTCAAAAATCAATTGCTGTAGTTTTTTGCAAGAAAGAAAAACGGGGACATCTAAAAGCAAGCCTGAACCTGAAAATAAGCAGCACACATTTAAAATTTAATGGTCTATGCAGAAATGTAGGACTACTCATAGATGAAGACCTGCGTTTTCACATGCATATTAACAGCGTCATCAAAACATGTTATTTTAGGCTGAAACTATTATATACCAAAGGCACTTCCTCGGTTTCAAAACAAAAAAGCTATTATGTGAACCATTGATTATTTACAAAATTTTATATGGTATCATGTCGTATTATAACGCCGCTAAATATTATAATGCACTAGATATCAATATTAGTAATACAGCAAATCATCATAAATTTAAGTCACTTTTAAAACAAAATATTTTAAACACATAGTAATACAAAAATTTTGGTAGCACTTAATCTTTGTCGAATATATTTTATGTACACAGTAACACAACAATTTTAGAAGCATTTAATACTTTATCAAGTATACAGTAACATACATTATAATAGTTTATAGTATATAGTATATACTTAATTTAGACTTGTTCTAGATTTACAAATATTGGTTGAGTAGATTGGCCAAAGGCTACACTCCGCCATTTGCATCATACGTCTCAATGCTATGTTGTGCTGTTAATGATGCAATGAGGACATACATGTATTATTATTTTGATTCGCTTTGAATGTTCATCTTTATACTACTGGGTATGTAGAGTGCAGGTTGTTTGACCAATTCGCTCTACTCTTCTGCATTTAAGAATTTCCTGACTATGTAGCATGTATTGAGTATTGCCGCATTTTGCACTTTTATATAAATATTCTCATCTAGTCTGATTAGATTATTATTATTGTTATTATTATTGTTTTAATTCACATTACTGTACCTAGACCAACGGAAAACATCAAAACGCATAACCTGCTTTGATGGATGGCCAAGCTTTGCCAGGAAGGCATTTGATCGGCTTATCGAAATTCGTATCACAAAGTATATCATTAAGCATGACTGCCTCTCGTCATTCTGATCAATGCTCGGAAAAAGTTGAGTAATGTCAAAAATGATAGTTTGTATTTCATTATAAAAAGTACTTAAAAAACAATATACATAGCTCTAAACTATACATTTATATCTAAACACATTTAAAATTATTATTAGAGCCTAAAAATACTCATATTGTAGCCCATTAATCCATTATATCGTAAGCCAGTTGCCCTAAATAAGTATCTCACGTTACACCAAGTGCGACATTTAAGAACAGAAAAATATACCTATCTTTATGATCAATGTGCATTCTATTTTTTAACCTCTATTGCATCTTAAAAACACTTATTTTGGAGTAAATATATTAAACAAAAATGGCCTCTCCTTGAACTTATGGCCAAATGACACCATCATCATACGGGGTCTGTAAATGCAGTGGAACATGTGATCCATCTCCAGCATAGGTCAACTCACATGGGAGAATGAGAAACAATACGGTGCTGCTGGACCACAACTTGACAATACTGTAGCATCCAGAAAAAATGGCTGATTTGACAAGCATGACGGTTTGATGCGCGGATGGTCTTGAAGGTAGCCACACATATTATTAAAGTCGTTCTTATTTAAACTTCATTTTTTTATGAGTTGATGAACTTTGGAATCTGGAGTATAACACCTAACATGTTGGTGAAATTATATAAGAGAACAATTCATTTTCTTCTAGATCTAGATGATTGCAATCAACAAACGGAGCACCCTGATCACTTGAAAGAGGGTTTAGTGATATAGAGATAAATTCTATAATTTTGAAGGATGTATTTGTTAGAACATTGAGAATTTCTACTTGATTCAAGTCACATATGTGGAGCGATATGGAACATTCAGCAGAATTGAAGGAACTTCATTCCACTGCCAACCCATGGTGATTAGAGATAGATAGAATATAGATTACTTACTACTGTTTTCTCTCCAGGACAAATATCTCGACAATTGAGTACTTCGGGACAATGGCTGATGTGTTTCACAATCACGGCTAATGTAAGTTTATGTAATTGAGTGATTTGTCTGTTAATATTGATATTCTGTAGTTGGTATGAGAAACTCACGACAATATCTGTAGATTTCAAATTTGAATATGTACTTCAATATAAAGGGTTTTGTTAATTTTTTAAACATTTATAGCTCAGAAAGAAGCTGATAAAAGTGAATCGAGCAAAATACTGAACATGTTTGAAATATATAAAATCTTATACGAAGTATGATATATTTTAACGATACTGTAAAAATTCCTAAATGACATATAATCATATTTTCCATAAAACTTTTACATTCTGATTTTCAATGTTATGGAAATGTGATTAGATATTCCTGTATTATAATTCTTATCAAAAATTTGGTAACTCTAGCAACCTTGCAGTCGTTAACAATAACTATTATTTCTTTTTGAAAAAAATTGATTTTCATCACTAATTCTAACAATTTTGCCATGCAGGTTCTGCAAGACCATCCACCAGGAATGAAAATATTTGGACCGTAAATGTTATTGATATGTTCATACAATAAAAAATTTCGTTAGCTCAAGTATAGATGTTCTTCCTGTTCTCAAAATATCGAATAACCAGGATATATGGATGATGTTAAAATGGGTGTTATTTTCGCTGCTGCTTTAACAAATAAGTGACTAAAAACAGCAAGAATATGTTAGTAACCCATGGCGTTATAAAATCGTCTACATATCATTAGAAGTGCGCACTATAAAATTATACAAAAAATGGCGATTGACACTGACATAACTCAACCGTGTTGCCCTATACCTAGCACGTGACTAAGCTTACTTCAGTGTATATGTTTTATGATCTTCAGTACAAGTTTAAGCTCGCTCGAGACATTTGGTTGTTTACAGTGTTTTGTCAAGAGACTAAATTTTTCGGTGGTTTAAGGCATTTTCAGAAGGGAGGCCTTCTTCTTCAAGAAACGATGAAAATATAGAGAGAATCCTCGATCTTGTGCGTTCAGATCGTAGGTTCATGGTCAGAATGATCGAGGAAGAGTTAAATTTGATTCACACCACCATTCATCAGATTAAGAATAACTGGGTGTTGCATCACGATAATGCTCCTTGGCACACAACAATGTCAATAAACAAGTTTTTGGCCAGTAAAAACATTCCTGTGGCTCTTCAGCCTCGTTATACACTTGATTTGAGTCCTGGTGGCTTTTTTCTGTTTTCCGAAGTTGAAAAATCAGTCAAGGGAACTCATTTTGGGACAGTCGAAAACACTCACATGGCTGTAACCGACCAGCTGAAGGCTATTCCAGTATCGGAGTGCCAGCGCTGCTATGAGGAGTGGAAGAACCGTCTCCAATGCTGTGTGACTTCAGAAGGAAGTTATTTTGAGGGCGACAATATAAAATTGTGATTATATTTGAATAAAAAAAGTCTCTTTCACAGACCTCGCACACTTTTTACTGGCGTTTCGGCCACCGGTGTCGTTTTTCAAAGTATACATTCTGATAATGACAATATAAATAAATAAATCAAAATCCTTCTTGATGTACTAATAGGCCAAATATTAAACACTTTAAAACCATACTGTTTTTTTTGTTGTCCGCTTTACGTGAAATGCCCTTTAACACAGTTTTAATGAAAATACAATGTTTTCAAAATTAAAAATATCGACAGCCAACGATCTATCGTCATTTTTTGCTACAATATCAACCCAAGTTAGTGTAATTTAATGATAATTGTGGCTCAAAACTGAGTCAGACTGGACTTAACGACTGTTTACCCTTGAGTTACAGGTATCTACATTATTATACATTCGACCTGGTTTTAATATCGGAACAAATATTTTTTCGTAATTTCTGAAAGGCTGAGTAATTTTGAGCCGCAGCTGCAGAATCTTATCCAGATGTTTTAACAGCAACGTTATAATTAATTTCACGTCCTATCGACCGGACTATAAGGTGACTTCCCGCAAGCCCGAATTCAAAATTGTACAGAGTAAACCTATAACGCAACGACATAACGTTACTTAATCATAATTAGAAGATCAATACCCCAAAGTGTTCGCAGATCAGTTCCTAAAGGATCATATGCCTCCAATAATATAATACTGTGCGATGCCTTATTTGAAGTCACATTGGCACAGCAGCTGCTATGGATTATTGGCAGGGCAGGGGTCATTCACCCCATATGAAAAGAATTTTCAATTTACATTGAAGTGGAAGTAGCAGTAGGTCGAATCCGAACGTACGAATGCAGCGCGTGCGGCGTTTACCCTACTCTCTCTGTATCCACTTTTTGCACTTTGCTCCCCGCATGTAGTATGCCTCAATCCTCAATTAGATTGCTCGTCTCTGATCCGAGGACTGCAAATATCGTTCATTTGCCTCATAATACTTTTATGATGGAAATATGTAAAGAACTAATGGGGATGTATAAACGTAAATTTACATACCTAGGTTCAGAAGTACGCTATTATTGGTCGAGCACTTTTATAGCATAGTACCGAAGGTCATAATTTATAATGTGCCAGATCAATAATGACCTTCTCCAACGAGGAACGTAAAGTTTGTTTTTACTACTAACACTATATATCATTAGGATTTTTTTTCTACACTATTATTTGCCTTAATTTATATTTTATTCATTATTTATAATTTATAAATGATTTGAAGCATTTAGGCAGGTGTTAAATGAAGGCAGAAAAGCAAGTACAGATGCTCTGCTGACTAGTTCACCTTATAAGGATAGCCTGGCTAATGACTTGAGCAAAGCCCAGAAAACAAATGGAAAAGGAGCTAAAATACTGCAAAGGAAATGTGTCGGAAATGTGGCTACGAAATGCTTCGAAAATAAAGAAAATGAAGCTCCAGCTGAAAAGGAAAGTGAAAGCCAAACAATGAAGTCAAAATGGACGAAAAAGCGACTAGAAAGAACAAAAAAGCAATTAGTAACCTCTTCAGATTCAGATATTGATATAGCCGGAGATTTAACAGTTTCCACAGATGATGAAGACAGTGAAGATAACTGCGAGTGTCCGTACTGCAATGAAACCTATTTGAGCGACAGAGCGGGCGAAAAGTGGATTGCCTGTATCAAATGTAGAGTCTGGTGTCATGAAGGGTGCTCAGGGACTGATGATTATCAAAAATTTGTTTGTGACTTTTGTGTCTGTTTTGAGGAATACGGTTTTATTTTATGTATCTATTTAGACTGATATTCAAATAAATGGTTTTCGCATACTTTGTTCCACTTACACTATCCCACAAAAAAGGTATTCCTAATATCGCATACCACTGCGATATTAGGAACACATTTTTTGAATACTGGAAATGCATCATTGGAAATGATCTGTCACTACATAGACATTTGATGGAGTTCATTGAAATACATTCACTGTTCACTTAGACGATACAATTTCCAAACTTACTGAACAAGAATCACATTTGTTCCATCGTAATTAACGATTTTACGTATATATAGCTATGGGCCAAATGGGTGCGATATTCGGCACATTTCCCCTAAAAGACAATAAAGGTACCTTTTGAATGATGTGTCATAATAAGCTACTTCCAATTGCAATCTAAATTTTTAGAGGTAGCTACCCCCACCTTAAAGTGAATTTAGGGTTGACGTTTCCATACAATATCTCAGGTGAATTTACACCAAAAAATAACACCGTGGCAAGACGGATATCCTTATTATCTTACTTCCTCTCTTCATTCTGACTTACGATGAAAATTAATAACAATGGAGCACACTAACATTAAATGATTAATCGTTTATGCTATCCCTGAATCAAGCGGTGCTAATGCAAATCGGTACGTTTCTACCTCCCACGCCAGTTGGCGAAGACCGAGGAAGTATTGCAATTTCGCAAAAACTTCTAATATGTCTGTCGGTCTGTCCGTTGAGTCTTGATCCCTCTATAACTTGGAAAGTACTGCTCGGATTTTAATGAAATTTTGAAACAACTCTACTGCTATGCCAAAGCCGAAAAAGCGTCTTAGGTTTTGGAAATCGATCCAGTGGCTGCAGAGCTACAGGTAAAGAGCAATGAAAAATACTCAACTTTGTTTTATGACGTTTCAGAGACTCCTGCTCATTTTTGGGAATATTTCTGAGGGGTAAAAAATTAGGGTTTGGGATATAGCTGGAGTATGGTATATCTCAATTTTTGACGGGTGATTTATGCACTTTTTACATGTAGTGTCCTGGTACACTTGCCCTTTATAAGACTTAGATTGATGAAATATTTTCAATAACCGCGTCGCGTCGAACGCAACGAAATGAAACTTAAATCTGTTGCGAAAGAGGCCGGGTCTGGGTAGACCGGTTGTGTTACTGCCCACTCTCCACAATACGTGTATGTACTTAACAACCCTAATCCTATGATAATAATTTTAGCAAAATTTGCATCCATGTTGCTTCACCCAGATTTGACAACATCGCTATCTCCTCCTTACTGTTCCAGAATAATTTTCGCATGTAAAAATGCAGCGAGCGGCGAGATCCGCCGTGCTAGGAAGTGCACAGTTAGGATGCATTTAGCGACCGGGGGGAACGTAAGGGGCGCGCACGAAGGGGGAAGCGGGCGGGCAGCGGCCGATGCGGAAAGGGATCAAAAAATGCGATCAATAGTGGCTCTCTGCTTCTTAAACCTTCCACAATTGCACTGAAGCGCTGTCAAAACTGCTCTCCGCCCAGCCGGTCGGACACCGCATGCCGCCAACGTCTGCGATATCATATTTCCGGTGGGCATCCGAGGGGTAAGGGGCACGAAGAGGGGATGCGGTAAATGACCAGGTTTTTTACTTCTCTAGTCTGGGAGAGGAAAGGACCTATACCGTTCACGCCATCATTCTTTTGTATGTCACAGGCTTTCGACAACAATCAATTTAAGCTTAGATCAGGTCAGAAACGGCAGCCCTATTATGTAATACCTAACCTATAACAGCAACGAGAGCGATTTGATCGGCAATCTTGTCATTTGTGTACTAGCTAGTCGCTAGTCATGCCACGCGTACTTGCTCTGAACAGCACCTATGAAGGTATGAACTTACAGCTTATACAATAGAAGCTAAGAATGGCTTCCGCTAGTGCCATCTCTGAAGCAATTGTTACATGCACAGCACGTAGCTTGAGGCTTCACGTTTAGGCAACACACACAGCTACTGAAGGTGAACATGAAGTGAATGATAGCTAGCTCCAAAATGATAATTCCTGCTATTTTGCAGTTACGTAATAAGTGTGTGGCCTACCCTAAATCTGCTACACTCCACTTTATACTAGAGCTGGGTCAAGTAGCAGTGACGTGGTGGTATCCCAAGCGAATTTTCCTGTTGACTATGAATGTTATGATTCTCCCTAGATGGTAGACGGTCTCTGATTGTCGAACGTGGAGGTAGGTACCCCCGACGAATCTCTAAGGCGGTGCCAGAACGTGTACATGTTACAAGCACTCGTGATCCCTCGCTAGAGACCTTATGGCCTCCCTCCCTTTCCCCTGTATCCCTCTATAGTTAGTACCACAGCACCGAATAGGTGTTTAGGCCTTCAGGGTGGTTCAAGTATAAAAAATCAAAATATCGTCCCGTTTGGTGATTTGATTCCAGCTTTGGAACCGATTCCTTCGATATGATCACGATTCCGATTCCAATTCACTGTATATGCAATGCAACGGGATGAAACCGACACCGCCGGCCGCGATGTTGAGAGTTGTAGTGTGAGGTTACTTTATCTACGAGTAGAACACTGATACCGACTCAATACTCGCTGGATACCATCGCGAATCGAGCCTACCATAATTTATGAAAGAGTCTCCAATGATTTCAATAAATGTTCATTATAAATTGGTTTTTGTTCCTCTAAATATGTGTTTGTGGGTAATAACAGTTATTTAGGGCAACGTTGTCAGTACAGAAGGAAACAAATTTGGCAATTTGGCTAGATTAGAACTTCGTTTTTGGTGAAGTTCATGAAATATTTGTGTTGTGTTAAAGTGAAAGGTCGTAAAGACTAAAAGATAAAATATAAAATAATGTTTATGAGGCATTTCATTTTAAGCGGACAACAAAAAAGTGAGGTTTTAAAATCCGTTCAAATTGGGCTTACATCTATGTATGTAGTAGGTGTGAAAAGGAAATACCGCCGTTATTACAATTTGGAATGTTTTGAGAATATTTCTTCAAATTAAAGAGTATTATATTGAGATATCAAACATATCGTTTTATATAGAAAATTTTCTGAACCTTTTGATGAAAAAATCAAATTTAAAATTTAAAAAAAGGTGCAAAGCAGGAAGTCAACATTCAAAATCAAAATTTGGGTAACTCGTCAATTTTTATTTTTAATCTTTATACTACAAAATATTGCATACATTTTTTTAGCATGAATATTGTATTTCTGTTAGATAAAAGATATTATATATGGTGGCAATATTTTGTGAAAATTATGAGGCTGACAATACGTGTAACAAAATGTTTTCAAGTAACATTCTTAACATTAGCTACAAATCATCTCATCATCTTACCTGTAATTATTACCGAAACATAGCTAAGGGAGGCCATAAATTGTATAAAATTCAATCAGGATCCTCATTTTTACACTTACATCATTCTACGGGGTAACCGGATCTCTGCGATTTTTTAAAACAATGCAACTCAACAAAGACATAGGTTTTTGTGATGAGATGTCAAAATATCATAGAAAATCTTCTAAGACGAAAATTTTGTATTTATATGAATAATAGTATTTGCGTGGAATAACATTTATTTATTCAAAGTATGATATTAAAAACATTAAATGGAAAGTATGAGGAAGTCGACAGCAACGATGTGGCAGATACGTTGGGTGGTAAGACCCAGGATATAGTATGGATGTGTGGTCTGGTTGCCAAGCATCGAAAAGACTTACCCGCAAGCTCGCTAAGGTTCAAAGACTGGCGGCGCTGGCGATTACTGGCGTGATGAGGACAACCTCTTCAGCAGCCCTTGATATTATCCTGATATAGAGTGGGAGGCCATGTCGGCATACCCAAGGTTGACGAGAACCGGTGGCCAAGAACATCATAAGATCAGACTTAGATGAGCCTGCCAGACAGACCCGCTTGATTTCGACCTCCCATCTTAACTGAGCCGGTACGACCTCTCCTTTGTTCCTAGGATATCGAGATTGTGGAAGAATGTGCCTGAGCCTTTCCCAGTTTTACTTACCTTAGGCAGTTCAAAAATAAAAGATGTCTTCAAGCTCCGTATAGCAACCACAGTGCTTCGGTATTTAGGCTTTTGCCTACGCGGGTACTTCGGTTTAAAAAAATAGTATGCACTCTTTTTGAGCAAGCTATACAAAAAAGACAATTTTCTCATTTGGGACATGGAGGGTGATTTTTTAGTGTGTAATGGGTCGATAGCTCCGCTATTATAAAATATATCTAAAGTAGTTCTTACAAAAATTATAGGCACCTACCTCACTTGGAAAATATGCTGTTTTCTACAGGGCGAAACATGCATATATGAAACGCGTTCTATATTAAGTATATCCTTCAAGGCCTCTTCAAAAGAAAAAGTTTGGCACGGCATACTATAAGGTTTTGATCGCCACTTATTGAACTACATTTGGTCCAAAATACACTCTACTTCGGCAGCTTGAAAGTCAGTCACTTTTGCAGATCAGAGTAGTGAACCTTTTATCAGAATGTGCTTATATAGCCCATATTTTTTTTTTTTTTTTTTTTTTAACGAGGGGGGAATGCATTTACGCACCATACCATAGCACGAGCTACGACGTGTGTGGGGCTCCAGGGTCTTGAAGAGATCACCTAATACCCACTAAACCCTAAACCTCCGCGTGGCCCGACTCATCAGCGTCTCGGTAGGCCATGTGTTGTGCGTGACCTGCGGTCTGCTACAACGTCTCCTCATGTGTTTCAGTCTCTGGGAACGCCGGGTTGGTTCCCTTTACCTCGCACATTCTATCGATGTCGTTAAGCGATCATCGATAGAGGGTCTGCTAGTTTCTCTTGAAACTCTTGTTTTCGAAAAATCAAGAGTTTCAAGTCCTCTTACCAATATGTTGTTCCTGGTCCTGGTCCTGAAGGGTCCTGGTCCTGGTGGGTCCTGGTCGATAGCCCATATCTTGCTATTTATACGCTTTTTAAGTTTCGTGAATCATCTGTTCATATATGAAATATGAAGGATGGCGGCTAGGCGGTCTTAGAACATATTTTACATGGAAAATGGGAGATAATATGATATAATATATACTAAGTGACATATAAATCCGAACACCCAGTTTAAATGGTTTTATTTTAATAAAAGTTGGTGCATGTATTTGTCTTACTGTAAATAACAAGTGAAAAAATTTTCAGCCTTATCAGTTGGACATTCCGATTTTTATACTGCTTTTTTTTAATTCACTTACGCTCTAAAAATGAATATTTCAGCCGCAGTAAAGAATCAACGTTGGCGGATTTTGGTTCTTGACATCCTTTACGATCGGTTACGATGCCTAGAGTACGGAGACCTGTACGATTTCGTCAACTTAGTGAGTTTGATAGGGGCCGTATAGTGGGACTTCGGGAAGCTGGACTTTCTTTTCGGGCAATTGCAGTTAGAGTGCAAAGAAGTGTAGACACTGTGGTTAGGTGTTGTCAGGCATGGCTTCGAGAAGGCCGTACGCAAAGAGCAAGGGGCACTGGACGCCGCCGTAGAACAACAGACCGTGAAGATCGCCGCCTAAGATTATTGGCCTTAAGGGACCATTTCTCCACTACCAGGTCCATTGCAAATGAATGGTTTGCAGAACACGGAAGACCTATTGGCATGCGAAGTGTTTACCGACGAATGAGAAGTTTTGGCTTGTTTTCATACCGGCCACACTGGGTCATCCCTTTAACTCGAGAACCCCGACGTAATCGCCTTGAGTGGTGCAGACAACAATCACTCTGGGATCAGGAATGGAACAGTATTGTCTTTAGTGACGAGTCTCGATTTTGTTTAGGCATGCACGATGGTCGTGCCAGGGTTAGAAGGCGACGTGGTGAAAGGAGGAATCCACAGTTTTTTGTTGAAAGACATGTTCATCACACTGTTGGAGTTATGTTTTGGGGTGCTATAGCTTATGGTTCCAGGTCACCTTTAATCTTCGTCAGAGGTAATATGAACGCGCAGCGTTATATCCACAAAGTTCTAGAACCCCATCTTTTATCCTATCTTGACACCCTGGCAGAAACAAATTTCCAACAAGATAATGCCCGACCACATGTTGCAAGAGTCACAATAGACTTCTTCCAACATAATGATGTCACATTGTTATCATGGCCACCAAGATCTCCCGACTTATCCCCAATTGAGCACGTGTGGGATATGATGGGTAGGAGATTGCTCAATTCGCAACGTCCTCCTCAGACTCTAGAAACACTTCGAGAGGAGTTGGTGGTTGCCTGGAATGAGATACCACAGGAGGACATTGACCACCTGATCAGAAGCATGCCTAGGCGCGTCGGAGAATGCGTAGCACATCAGGGTGCATCCACACATTATTAAAGGTCAAAGGGCTTTAAAGCAGTGCAATCATTTTGAAATTTTTATCATTTACTTATTATGCTTCATTAAGTACTTATACAAAATTTTATTAAAATAAAACCATTTAAACTGGTGTTCGGATTTATATGTCACTTAGTATAATTTAGGTACTCTTTTCCGTCGCTCCGACGGTGTTTCAGTCTACTTGTCTGCCGGTTGGTCGATCTGACGATTGTCCGCTTATCCTTGGCCCTTCTATGCCTTGCAAAGTTCCTATCGGACTTTGATGAAGTTTTCAAACAGGGATATATGTAACTATGCCAAGAACGAAAAAGCCTGATTATTTCCAGGCAAGTTTTTGTAGGCATTAAACATTGGGGATTGGGGGTTGTAGGGGGTGGGGGGTGGTTTAGAGTATATCTCAGTTTTATGGCGATATTAGAGTTAGAAGCATCTACTTCCGATAATTCTGCTCACCTAATAGCACATATATCATACATCATACATTTTGAGGCAGGACAGCATTTTGTGCTTAAAGCGTATGTGAACAAAACCCTAACGATGCTAGATGGTCAATAACTGTTGTTAGGGCAGAGAAGAAATCTCTAGCGTTATCAATTGGATGAGGACTATAGACTAATTGTATGACTCTGTTTAGCTCACTTGATTCATTTTTTGTTTGTTTGTAGTTAACTTCTTTCTCAAAGGTGGGTCATTTTGTGGGTGTTGTGTTTATAGACTTTAGGAGAGCATTAGAAAGAATAAATAAAAATTTGTTAATAAAGAAACTAGAGAAATATAGCCTTGAAGGCAATGTTTTAAGATGGTTCTCAGAATACTCGCAACAAAGAACCCAGCGAACAAAGTACAAAAACTCCTTATCTTATGCAAGAGAAAATAGGTATGTGCCTCAGGGAACAGAGTTGGGTCCTGGTCTATTCGTGCTGTATATAAATGATATTATAAAATCTGTAAAAAATTGCAAAATTCAGTTGTTTGCAGACGATACAATTTTGTTCATGGAATGTGACAACATAGACAATTTGGTTAAAATGATTATGAAGACTTAAAGACATTATATGCCTGGTTAGAGAACAATAGTCTTAGTATTAATGTTGATACTGAAATCTAAATTTAATGTTCAGGATACTTATCTGCACGACGTATTTATAATTGAAAATAATAAGATTGAACAGATTAACAAGTATAAATATTTAGGAGTTATGATAGATTCAAATTTAACATTTAATAGCCATGCGGATTATATTATAAAAAAAGTTTCTAAAAAAGTTTATTTAATGTGCAGGGTAACAAAGGACCTTAGTTCATGGACTTAGATATATATAAAACAATAGTCATGCCTCACTTTAACTACTGTTCTTCGATGTTATATATGTTTCAAAAAGGTGATCTAGATTCACTACAGAGAAAACAAATCAGGCTCTTAGATGTATATTGAGAACACATATTGGAAGGTTTGCAATTTGCCTGTGATATCCATAGTTTATGAATAAGGAATAGGTTTGATTTTTATGTTCAGGCAGTGGGGTCTGATGTTGCAAAATACGAGTAGTTTATTTCATAAAGGCCTTATAGATTTCAATACTTTACCAAATTCAAAAGACAATTGATAATTTATGTAGAAAATAGTATTAGTTTTAGATAATAACATTATATATATATATTGCATTGTTTAGCTTGAAGCTATTAAATAAAGATACTAGTACTACTGCTAAAGAGAATAATTATTAGTACCGAACCTTATCCCTGATGCACTGATGGTAGCGTTGCAGGGGAGTGGAGAGTAAACTTACTTGATAACATTTTTTTTGTTCTCTCGTTACTAGAAGATGATTTTTTTATATCTGCTTTCGCATATCACATGGACGAGGGAAACCTCTAAAAATGCCTAACCCTCATCAACAAACTGCACTATATCACAGAAACGAAGGCAATAACATTTCGATTTCGATACATTAGCTTTAAAGGTAGAATTGAACGCAATTTAAGGCAAAGAAAAGCTGTCGGACGAACGACATTGTCTACACAGGATTCAAACATTTTTCAGTAGGGTGGCGCATGCGAGGATATTATGTTTCCTATGTGGCTGGGAAGGAAAACGAAGGGTGCGGTGGACGATAAAAGTTTTTTGTTTTAATGACATGTAAATAGAGGTGCGCTAGATATATATTCATATTAACATTGTGAGCTTATGGACTGTTTATTAAAGCTGGTAAAAAATCTAGCTGGTTTAAGTTAATTAGGTTATAAAGTGAAATTGGGATCATATGCTTTAAAGTTAAAACAGTTTTTATTTTCAGGTACAGAAGACTAGGGTTGCAGACATTTTTGAACTGTTGGTTGAGAGTTCGTCTTGTTGTATCACGGTATTTGGATGTATGATTTTGCAATGTTAACTGGTATGCAAGCCGTCTTCTACAATA